CATCCAAGGAGGTAGATTAGACCTTACCTTCATTTCATCAACACTCAGAATTGTAGCAACATAGTTAGTTAAGCTCACACTTACAAACGACCACTATGGGGTCCAAATTGATCTAAAGTTGAATCTACCCACCCCACCAGCCTGGAACTTCGCTCTGGGGGCATGACTTCCCGACTTCCCCAAAAAATGCATTTAATGAAAACTGGTTCGATTTCAATCAAACTTTTTTGACGAGTTGTACATGAAAAGAGTTTCATCTGGCCCAAGTCTCAGCATCGTAGCATAAATAGGAAGGGAGAAAAAAATATTGAAATAGGTGTCAAAATTATTCCAAAATGGTCAAAAACGATTATCAAACACAAGTGTCAACTGAAATCATATCTATGACTCTTTGCTATCTCAATAGCATACATTAAAAAAATATTATAATTAGTTTTATTAGAAAAAAATTTAAGTTAAATTTTTTTTTTTTTTTTTTTTTTTATCGGACCATTTGCATGAAACTTATACACCTGACTGTACATAAGCCTATCTGTAAGGGTGCCAATTTTGGAGAAAACTGGTTAATGTCAACCTCAGCCACAGATGGCAGCACCTTAGACTTTATTATTTTCTTATGTATTTTCAACTAACATAAACGTTTGAATAACTTTTACATTTTTTATTCAATTTACATGAAACTTACACCTTATAAGTAAAGTGTATGTCTCTAAACTTTCAAGTTATCGTTTTTTCCTTAGTTCATTTATTGATTTTATAATAGCAATAAACATGACATATTTGCATAATTTTTGAGGGGAACTTTGAATATTTGTATTAGGAAAATTAAAGATGTTTTGGAAAATCCCCAACTAGAGCTCCTTTATTATATGCTAATGTGTCAGAAAAGTGTCACAGAATTATATCTGAAAGGTGTGTTGTTATATTCGAACTTGAAAATGTGTAAAATTCGTTGAAAAAAAAAATATATTTCTCACTTTCTATTTACGCTGCAGTACTGAAACTTGGAACAATTGCAGCGCTTTTCATATACAACTAGTGATTTTTTTTTTTTTTTGCAGGGATATATTCCTGCGCGGGCCCTAAGCCTCTGGCTGGCCCACTAAGTGTTGCTTGTTTCTGTTTTACTTGGGCGGAGTATGAGTATTTATTACTCGTATGGTCGCTTTAGTAAGATTTTGCCATATGTGTTTAACAACTTCTGCTCTGTTGAATCTAAGTTGAAATATTACTCTACTGCTCCCTATCATCAAACTAAGGGGTTCGTAGTTGGTTGAATTCTTGTACCAACCCGCAGATCCTGATGTTGCAACTGCTGTGTTGTGGTCACTGTACATCTTTTGCATTGCTCTGTTTCTAATTACTTTCTTAATCTGTGATAGACTCTGTGGTATGTAAATATCTACATTTCTTCTCTTAGTTGCAAGTTTTGCAGCTTCGTCTGCAATGTCATTTCCTATTATTCCCACATGACTTGGCACCCAGTTGATAAGTACCCGTCGGCCTTGTCGTTTGAGTGTTTGCATTAATGACATGACATTGTAATCAGATGTATGTTATCACATATGTGTTCTTGTTGCAAGGTTTCAATGGCGGTTCTCGAATCTGTATGTATGATAACATGTTGTCGGTGTTGAGCAAGAGCATGTTCCAAAGCCTTTTGAATGGCTAGCATCTCTGTTTGTAAAGTCGAACACCCATTTGAGAGCCTCCAACTATTTACAGAGTTTCCTGCTTTAACTGCAGCTCCGGTTTCTTGTCCCTGCTGGTCTACTGATCCATCTGTGAAGTATGTGAAGCTGTCGGATGCCATGTTTGCTTCTATATGCATCTGTGCAATGTTACGTAGCAGATGAGGATTTGTCTGGTTCTTTTTTCCTCCAATAACCATAATCTTAAAGTCTGCTGGCGGAGATTCCCAAGGGGCTTGCATAACAAAGTCTGCATGTATTTCGTCGACACTCTTCTCAGTGACTGTGTTTGTTATATCGAATGTATTGATGGTGTTTCTCGCACAATGGGTCCACCTGTTACTATTGGAGGCTCTTCTGTCCAGAGTTAGTGCTTCAGTGATTATATCTTTAAGTGAACTGATTCTAGGTCTAGTCAATATCTTGGTCAGCATGCACGCAGCGATCCCTTTTACCCTTATTTCAATCGACGTTAGCTTGGTTTCTAGTCTTAGGTTCAGTATTTTAGTCCATCTGGGAGCTCCTATTATGATTCGCAATGCATCGTTTTGAATAACCTCAACGTTTGCCCACTGACCAGGAGAAAGAGTGAGTAAGGCAGGTGCTGCATAATCAACTAGGGAACGAACGGCGTGTATGTAAAACATTCTTAACACTTTGTGTCCTGCTCCTAGACGGGGCCCTGTGATTGCTCTCATTATATTTAGTCGTGATTTTGCTTTCTCCTTTAGATATTGAATTTACTTGTTGAATGTCATTTTAAAATCTATCTACACTCCGAGATACTGATATTGTGTAACCCACTGAAGGTTAATGTCTTGAATGCGTAGGTACCTGTCTGGAGTGTTGCCGCCTAGTCTTATTGCCTTAGACTTCTGTGCAGATATTTTTAGCCCTAAAACGCTGCATTCAGATGTTACTTTATCTAATGCACCTTGTGCTTTATTTAAAAGTGAAGGACCTGTAATGACTAATGCTATATCATCAGCATAGCTTAGCAATTTAACCCCTTCTGTAAATGTCATGGTAACAAGGTTTTCCATAAGGATGTTAAAAAGACTAGGACTGAGGACTCCTCCTTGTGGAGTCCCATTCTCATGCAAGTGGTAGTCCGACACTTGTCCATGCAACTTTACTCTGGCATACTTGTGACTGATATGAAGCTGTTCTTTCTGCAAATTGGAGAGCTAGTCTCTCAGCCTCCTGCAATTGTTAAATACCATTGGTTGACATTGAACAACTTTTCCAAAACCCAAGTAATGCCTCCTACATTGTATATAAATAAATAAATAAATAAATAAATAAATAAATAAATAAATAAATAAATAAATAAATAAATAAATAAATAAATAAATAAATAAATAAATAAATAAATGAGAAAGAGGAGAGGGCCAAGTATGCTGCCCTGTCGAACACCAAAGTTGATGGGTAAGGTGGGAGAAATGGAATCATTCACAGAAACATACTGGAGTCTGTCACTAAGGTAAGACTGAAGGTATTGGAGGGAGTGACATCTGACTCCATAATGATGTCATTTAAGAAGAAGGTTGTGGTGGCTGATAGTGACAAAAACCTTATGTAGGTCAGAGTCAAGGGTGCTGAGTCTGTCCTGACTGTGGGAGCAGTCTATAGAATTCCTAACACTGATGTGTCCGAATTCAACTCTAACCCTAGAAATCTAATACTAGATAGCAGACTGAACAAAAACCATCTAATTATTAAGAAGGTGCACTGTGGAGGGGGGGGGGGGGGGGGGGGGGATTAAGAGAGTACATAGCAATGATGATTTTACATTCTTGTAAAGCCACTAGCACTCATATAACGTTTCGGGCAGGTCCTTATTCTTACAGATAATTTTAAGTAGGTAATTTCCAGCAAAATTTAAACAAAAATATTTACAAGTACATTGTAAGAAAATTTGACATAATACACGAAGATTAGATTAATACACAATAATGACAAAGATTAGTAGATACATAGGGTAAAATTTGAGTGTTATCAACTGGTTCATTGTAGCTGTAAATTTTTTTTTGTCAGTTTTGTCTGAAATCACCTATTTAAAATTATGTGTTAGATTAAGGACCTGCCCGAAACGCTATGTGCGTGCTAGTGGCTTTATTAGAATGTAAAATCATCATTGCTATGTACTCTCTTAACCTCCCCCCCCCCCACCCCACCCCACCGCAATGTACCTTCTTGTATATAAATAAATAAAGTTAGTTTAGTTCATTTATTATGCACCCCATACCCATCTTTTGGGATGTAGTGGAAAGGGTTACAGACGCACATAATGGGCTCAGGGACTGAACCCCACAATTCATTTAGCAAAGCAAGTTACAATCATGATGAGCTAGTTAGAAAATTCAGTATAAGTCGTCACATCAACAATGGGTTCGAGATCGACCACAAGTATTATTTTAAATAAATGAGAAAAAACATAATAACTATGTCTTTCTCGTCGATATTATGTTCTTATGTTGAACTAAGTTCAACATAACATAATATTGTATCAAATTTTGAGTTTATCATAATAACCACAATATAACTTGATGAAAGTGATTACACGGGTAACGTTGCATATCTTAAATACTAAAATTGGGGAAGTTATAATAATTCATGATTTTTATTATATTAAAAATAAAAAATACGAAAAACACTTGGATTAATTGTATTTCTTGTAGGCGAGAACAGTTGTGAACGCCAGCTAGCGCACAAGTACATGAGCGTCCAAAATACTTTTACATGTACAGACAAGCGTGTGGCTTCTGATTTTGTTTGTATTAATTAATATTACATATTAGGCACTTAACCTTAATAATTATTATGGTATACAAGTATAATTATCACATAATAAATGCAATAATAGTTTACCCAAAAATGGCCCATAGTCTAATGTTTTGTCCGTTCAATCATGTTTGAAATTGAAATTGAAATTGAAATAAGTTTATTGAGGTAAAATACACACAAAGGGATGAGGTAGCTCAAGCTATTCTCACCCCATTCAGTACAACGTGTTAATATATACATAGACACACATCACAAACAATAAACATATTACCAAACATTCTGAGAAATCATGTTTGAGGACATTCAGATATGTAGTGTTTACGCCGGCGAGCGACGTTCTTATGAAACCCGGATTATGTCTAACATTAAACTTTATTTAATAAATATATGCCTATTAAGTAGATCTTAACTGTTAATACCATTATGTTGGGGTTTTAATATTGAGCACGTATATATATATACGAAACGTACAAATTTTCTGTGGGAAATATATATATATATGTGTGGGATCCGTCATGTGTGTATTGTTCTAGTGTAGTATCCGGGGAGAAGGCGACCTCCTCTCAGCTGTTTGCGCCGCCGGACCAGCAACATGTTGCCTCACTTCATGCTAGTAAAACGGGTTTTAAAACCAACTGTGGCTTCACCCCTATACAATGCGCTGGCCAAGAGATGCTCTTCACATTTCACCTACTTCCCTGACACCGTGCCGGAATCCATGGGTAAGGGAGAGAGGGCAAGTGGTCCGCTATGGGGGTTATGCCCCGGGGTTTTTTGCCCTGGGGTCATGTATATTGAAACTACATATATTCTAGGCTATATTAGCTTAGGTTAGGCTATATTAGCTTAGGTTAGGCTATATTAGCTTAGGTTAGGCTATATTAGCTTAGGTTAGGCTATATTAGCTTAGGTTAGGCTATATTAGCTTAGGTTAGGCTATATTAGTTTAAGTTAGGCTATATTAGTTTAGGTTAGGCTATATTTGCTTACGTTAGGCTATATTAGCTTAGGTTAGGCTATATTAGCTTAGGTTAGGCTATATTTGCTTAGGTTAGGCTATATTAGCTTAGGTTAGGCTATATTAGCTTAGGTTAGGCTATATTTGCTTAGGTTAGGCTATATTTGCTTAGGTTAGGCTATATTTGCTTAGGTTAGGCTATATTTGCTTAGGTTAGGCTATATTAGCTTAGATTAGGCTATATTAGCTTAGGTTAGGCTATATTAGCTTAGGTTAGGCTATATTTGCTTAGGTTAGGCTATATTAGCTTAAGTTAGGCTGTTGGCTTAGAACAAGAAGTACAAGAATTTGTACAAGAATGTAACAACTCTTGTATATATCTCTCTCTCAAAAAAAAGAGTTAGGTTGGTTTGGGTTAGGTTGGGTTGAGCTAGATTAGGTTAAGTAAGTTTCAAAATCTGCTGGTGAATCGTCTTGTGTACGATGTGACTTGTATCCCTTGACACCGGCTGCAGCTACAGCAAAGGGCCCTATGTATCCCATCGTTCGAGGGACAGGTAAAGAATCCTGATGGTACTGCAAGGAACCCTGTGGATGCATGCTGCACGGTCTTCACATTTGTGGGTGTTGCCTGTTTTAAGCATAACGTCGAATCATAGTACAGTATACTGTATCAAAACTTGGGAAATCCTTCTTGAAATATAAGTCTCTTTGTGCCCTAGATGGTTTGGACACAGAATTTAATATGAATCAAATTCGACACAACTGAACCCAGCCTAAGCTAACACAGCCAAACCTAATGATATAGAAGTTATGATTATAAACCATTTTAACAGTTAATAGTTTATGGAAATCCCTTGTTACAATTTGACCATACTGTACTGTATTCCTCTTGTGCTCGTCCGTGTCTTCTGTAGGTATGTTTCACACAGCTCTTTCTCTAATTTTTGTATTTATTTATATATACAAGAGTTCTTACATTCTTGTACAGCCACCAGCACGCATAGCATTTTGGGTAAGTCCTTAATCATAATACATTCCCCTGAATACAATCTGCCAAATCTTTTTTTTTTTTTTTTTTACCCATTTTACTGTTGGGTAAACAGTGGCTACAGTTAAAGATTGGTGCCCAGTAAATCCTTCCCGGCCAGGATACGAACCCAGGACATAGCACAAGTGTTTTGCCCCTACGCCACTGGGACTGCTAAGGTTTAAAACTATCTTGTGTATAAAGTAAGTTGCATGGCTACTATTGTGGTATAGCCTATACAGTAGAACCTCACGTAGTGTCCCTCTTTACAAATTTTTCGGGTTACGAAATAAATTTTTTGGAAAATTTGAATCGGGTTATAAACTTTGCCTCGCCTTGCGACTTTGTTGATACACGTATGGGTCGATCGAGCGTGTGGTTCCTGGTGGCACGGGCGACCGCACTTCAATTTACCAGTGTCTCCCGCCTAGTGACGATAGCTCTTGAATTGTTTGTAAAGAATTTCATTGTTTTTCTGCTTTTTTTGTTTTTGAACATTTATGTAATTATTTTATATCATGCCATGGGTCCAAGAAGTCAGTGGTAAGGTTCAACCTAAGAAAATAGTTGAATAGAGGCAGTAGAGGATGTCCCTTCCTCATTAAGAAAATGTGTGAAGTATGGGAAGAACTGCAGTTTTGTTGAAAAAACTCACCAAGATAAAGCTGTAGCAGGCCGTTGCATTGACCTTTTCAATGACAATGTGATGTCTTACTACAGATAAGTGTTAAAATGTAAAGAAAAACAAGCATCTTTAGACAGATTCTTAGTAAGACAAGTAAGCAGTGAACCACAACCAGATACTAGTAGTCTGCTTGCAAAATGTAGGAGAGAGAGTACCCTAGAGAAGTCATCACTGCCTGATGTTATAATGGAAGGGGACTACCCCTTCCAAACACTAATACCTCTCCTCCCTCATTCCTCATCGTTTTCCATACGCCAACATGAGCCATCAATAAGCTATAACTTGTACATACTACAGTACTTCTTCGCGATACAGCAGTTTGCATGAAGGTTTTCCTCCCGATGACTGCACGAGTGGTGATGTTGATAGATGCAGTACTTTCGGTGGCACATCAATGTTCAGAATTTGGCAGTTGCTGGAAATTACTGTATCGATGTCTTCTATTTGTGTGAGGATAATAAGAAATATACCTGTAGTACAAAATATTTGTGTGTACTATGTATGAAATGTATTATGAAGTTAATATTTTTGAGAGTGCGGAATGGATTAATTCAATTTACATTATTTCTTATGGGAAAATTTGTTTTGGATTGCGAATTTTCGACCCGTCTTACCCTGCTTACGACTCGTCTCTGGGAATGGATTAAATTCGAAAACTAAGGTAGCTCAATTCAAATTGTTTCCCTTGATGGTGGCAGGAAGTCTGTCACATATATTGCAGTCCCTCTTGCTCTGTAATACTAATTACCTAAGTGTAGTTACAGGATGAGAGCTACGCTCGTGGTGTCCCGTCTTCCCAGCACTACATATCTAATACTGTATCTAAAAACTAATACTGCACTAATCCAAGTTGCAAAAAACCAGCACTAATACTGTATCTAAAAAGGTGCCCTGGAGGTAAGCAAATGATTTTGTGCACATATAATAATATATAATTAATCATTTAAAACTGTTTATTTTTGTTTGTTAGGCTGGGCTGGGCTGGGCTGGATTGAGTGTTTTTTAGTTAGGTTTAAAAAAAAAAAAGATTTGTAATGCTCTAGAATAACATCTTTTGACCCTTTTTGAACCCTATGCTTCTAGCTAAGGGAGAGATTGTCCATGCAGTCAACCAACAAATTACTGGAAAGATCCGATGGTGTTTAACCAAGTGAGTTACTTCAGATTCAACACTGAGTGGTGCCATTAGTCACTTTAAATTGGGGGTATTCCTAGAGTATTCCTGAAATGGGGTTCTGAATAGTTTTCTACTCAAGTCTGGCCTGGGGCCAGGCCTGATATAATAACTTGGTCTAACAAGTTGCGTACAATGGGGCCTTGACTTACGATGCTAATCCATTCCCAGAGACAGATCGTAAGTCGAAATATCATAAGTCGAAGCGATTTTTCTCATAAGAAATAATGGGATTTGAATTAATTCGTTCCCCACCCTCCAAAATATTAACATACAAATACATTTTATACTGAATACAATGTTTTTTCTAACTTCAATACAGTACCTAAGTTTATCTTACCTTTATGGAGGGCTCTTGATGGCATATGGAAGATGGTGATGAGGGGGGAGGAGGAGAGTTGTTACTGTTTGGAAGGGAGTTCCCTTCCATTATCACATCAGGCAGTGATGTTTTCTCTGGGGTACTCTCTCTCCTACGTTTTGCCTGAATACCACTAGGACCTGGTTGTGGTTCAGTGCTCGTTTGTCTCACTACAAATTTGTCAAGAGACATTTGTTTTTCCCTTTGTTTTAATATTTGTCTGTAATGAAGCATCACTTTAGCACCCATAATGTCCTTTCTCTTAGCCAGTATGGTGGATATCGTTGACTGAGATTTGTTGTACTGCCTAGCCAGTCCAACAACTCGCACACCATCTTCATGTTTACGAATGTTCTCTTGTTTCTGCTCTATGGTCATCCTTACATGGGATCTCATATGTTGAGCCTTACCACTGACTTTCCTGGGACTCATGGCGTGATATATAATAATTACTTTAATGTTCAAAATGCAAACAATCACCACAGAAGCGAAATTTCTTGTAGGCGGGATCGTCACTAAGCGGGTAGCTGTAGTATACTGAGGCAGGTCAGCCGCATGACCGGGAACCACGAGCTTGGTCGACCCGAACGTGTACCAACAAATATCATAAGTCGACGACACCATCGGATATCGAGTCGCATTTTTCAATGAAATTTACATCGTAACTCGAAATTATAGTAAGTAGGGGCATTCGTAAGTCGAGGTGCCACTGTACTTAGTTTGCAACCAATTGGACCCAATTTTGATTTTCAGGCACGTTTCCTTAAAACTGATGCCTCTGTTCACCTAGCAGTAAATAATTATCTGGGAGACAGAGCAATACATCTTATGTCAGAACTACATTGTCCCATTAATTGTTGGGACAATGTGCATATTGTCCCAACATTCCCAACAATTGTCCCAATTGTTTTTGCTCTCCCACAGCTCCTTTTAAATCATGTCCCTCGATGAAACCTTCAGTGTATCTGACTCCTTTGATGTCACTTGTCTTGTGTCTTTCTACGCTTGTACTGTATTGGCTTCCTGAATGATATCTAGGACCTTTTAAATATTTTGTAACAGTGTTTTATATATAGCCTTCCAGTTTTTAACATTTTATTTTCGTGATTTCATATATGAGAGATAGATCAGCTACTGTAAAAATTATGTACTGTAATAAATGATATACAGTAATATGATGTCACATTCTTCTATGCATACCCATTTTGTTTTAATTGTAAATGCACGGCAGTATTCAATGTAGCCTGAGAAAGTATGCTTTTAGCAGATATTTACTCTTAAACCAGATAGTTTGTTAACTTTCACTGCCAATATTTGTTAAAAATTTGTTGTGAACATTATTTGATCTATATTCTAAAAATATTTACATGTACCACTGATATTTAATTTTAGAATTCAGGGCATTTTTATTGGAAATTGTTAAATTTTAATCTGCTTGCTTGGCTCATCCAATGTTAATGTGAAAACTGATTTCTTACAGGAGAAACACAAAGACTGAATTTGTTCCAGTCCATCAACAATGCTTTGGATACTGCCCTTGCTACAGACAACACTGCTGGTCAGTGTCTTTAATCTTTTTGTAGCTTGTAGACCTAATAATTTTTGTTATTATAATATATTTATTATAAAATAATTTATTAAACAGTGTTACAATATTAGTAAGATGATTCCCTGCAGTAATACCATGGGATATCAGGAAGGAGGATGGAGAGAGGTGTAAAGAGGAAAGCTAAAAGTTGAAGGGAAAGATGCTAAGAAAATAAGATAATACGATAAGTTAATGGCAGGAGGGAAGGAGGAGAGGGTTAAGAAGAAAAGGGAGAAAGGAAAGGAAGAAGGGTGCTTGGAAGGAAGGTTTAGCTAATTTATTTTGCATCCCATACCCATCCTATGGGAGGTAGTGGAAAGGGATGAGCTAGTTACAAAATTCAATGCACATCGTCACAAATGGATCGGATTAGTGAAAGAGAAAGATGGGTAGAGCTGCCACCATCTATGTATATATTTTTCAAACAAGAAATGGAACTTCTGTCTCCAGCAATTATCTGTATGTCCTGATCACAATCAAAATTAAGTCATGAAAATTTGCTTATTATCTTCTAGGCCTTAATCTTTCAAAAAGTTAAATTCAATACATAGAGCTCGGTGATTTTCCTTCATTTTATCTTACACTGTATGATATCAGAATAAATCAAAGCTCTTAGGATATCAAATTAAAAGGCAATCATTCACAAATTATAGATTTATATTGTATACATTTTCAGGATTCAACAATTTGGATTGACATTTACCCTTTACTTGACAATTTCAACATTAATTAAATGTCCAATAGTAGCAGTCACTGAAATAGGAAACTGAGATGCTATATGACTGATTGCCCCTGAGATTACACAAAATGTATAATATAGGAACACAGAGATATCACCTGACAAATATCACTCACCAAGGGGTCTCGGAGTGTAAGTCGGATAGAGAGGGTGGGGTATGGTGGACTAATCCACATAACCAGACTCCTCACTGGTCTGGTTATGTGGTTTTGCAATGCTGAACCCTCAATGTAGAAAGAGGATCCTCTATAGTCCCAAATGTGAGATTGCTTGCCTGTTTTTATGGGAGGCTAGAAGCTAGGCTCTTCCCATAAAGCTGAGGTGGATTGTTTGATAGGGAGATCACAAGCAAATCATCTGCAATTTACACAAGCAAATCATCTGCAATTTATCAACTTAGCTCATGTTCCCGAGCCTGTAAGGTCACCTTCAAGACCAGACTTTTTGGGTCAACGTGCGAACATTAACACACTAAGATGTAAATTTGTATTGTATGACTGCAGACAGTGGCAATTACAACTTCCTGTGTGACTTTACTCCTCTTCTATTATTGAATTATTAAATAAAACCATTTATGGTATTACATCCACAGTCTATACATACAGTACAACATTACCTAATCTCTCTTTCCAAATTGTTCTATTCAGTTATTTCCATATTTGAAGTCCTGCTGTTTCCGTGGCTAGTATTAAGCACAGTGAAAGCAGGTCAACATCTTGCACCGACACAACAAGAATTTTTTCAGATGTGTGCTGTTGGGTGACACTGGTGCAAGGGAAACAATTGAATATTCTCAAGTCAACCCAGAATGACCTTGAGAAGGGTCATTCTACTATTGTACACTCAAATTACTACTTCCTCTACGGGTTTTTCGTGGTTCGGTGCCATGGTATCTTCCTCTACGGGTTTTTCGTGGTTCGATGCCATGGTGTCTTCCTCTTCCCTCTTCTCTGTTGGCTGGGGCTTTGTGACCAGTGCTCGCCAGTCCAGCCAGGGGAGTTGGTGGCCGTCTATGCGTCAGGCTCACGGCATGTGGGAGTTGGTGACAGTGTGACTGGCACTGCTGAGGATTCGGCTTCCTCGGGGTATGGTGATCCGGCTTCATTCGGCCTGCTCCCCTGTGGTTCATTGTCTCAATTGGAAGGGGGGGAGGGAGTTGCTTCGTTCTGTGGCTCTTTAGAGCTGGTCGCTTTGGGTAGCTATTCTGCTGAGTTCTTGGGGTTTAGCTCTCCACACAGTTCACATTCAAAGAGTGTCTAATGTCCTGACAGACGACCTGTTGCACTTTGTTCCTCTTTCCACTATATGGATGGTTGATGACGCTTCCTTCTTTTGGTTTTGCCGGATGTACGAGCATCCGGAGGTGGACCTCTTCGTGCCGGCATGGTCTCGGCGTCTCCTGTTGTACGTGACGCTGTTCCCAGACTGCGAGACACTCGCAGTGGATGCTTTTTGGCAGGACTGGTCGCAGTGGGGGTTCCTGTACAGCTTCCTCCGGTCCAATTGTTGCTTCGGGCTCTGGCTTGGCTAGAATCTTATCAGGGGAGCAGAATCTGTGGGCCACCAGTTCTGTCGGTGGATGCGCTCTGGGTTGATCCGGTTTCCCTAGTTTCCTGTTCCAGGGCTCGTGGTTTCTCAGTTTGTCCGCATTGTCATCAAGTCTAGCCAGCCTGAGGTTTACCCCTGCGCCCATGATGTTAGAAAGTATGCTTCTCTTTCGGCTGTCTTTGGTAATTTGTCTTGGGATGATTTTCGAGCGTGGGGGTTTTGGAGGTCGAACAGGGTCCTGGTCGCCTGGTCTCTGGTGAATGTTCCAGTTCTTCTGCAGCCTTGTGTGACCTTGGGACACTGTTGCAGCTGTCTGACTCTTCCTCATTGTTATGGGGGAGTATGAGGTGTTACTCAGAAGGGCCAATAGCTTGAATCAAGATGTATCAAAAAATAGTGGGATAGGCCCGGCCCCCAAGTAACATAGGTTCCTGTTAATGCTTCAAGGTTTTAGAAACAGATCTGTTGTCTAGTAGACAATCACCTACACCACTTCAACAGGATTAATGGATACACCTCAAAAACTAACTTATTTATTAAACCCTCTACTAACCCCCATATACATTACTATAATAAAAACACTTTACCACACTATCTTACGTTAACTACCTTGGTCCAAATAGACAGGATACAAGGCTTACACTTGGAAAAACTAGGGTAAAGTCTACTTAAAGAGAGGCACTCAAAAGGCTTGAAGCAGCCTGGGGGTAGCTAAGCCCCCACGTGGTACCCTAGTTGCAACGGAATACACTTAGGGATGCCAAAAACACTGGCTTATACTACACAATACTTATAAATAAAACACGCACCTAGCCAGTAACACGGTACCTTAATACTAAATAACTGTGGAATACACCCAGAATGGGGTAAGGGAAGAGAGGAGTAGGAAAAGGAGGAGACAGAGCCACACAGGAGAGATGTTGATCCCAACACAGTAGTCCAGAGAAGGAGGAAGCAGACTTCAGTCCCCGAACTCTCTCACGTTCTTGTTGCCGGGAAGATACCTAGCTGATCGTGCAGCTACAAACAATACAAGTCTTCACCGGCCTTCGTTACTAGTTACTTTAATAGTTCTAAGAATAGCTGATAACTAGTTCAATATTCCATTGAATAATCAACAAGCTCAGAGTCTGAATAATCTGTGAGTAACAAAGTTCCTCTTATGTCTGGCAAGGAAAATAGGAACAAAGGTGCATCAGCGGTAAGGAGGAGCCAGAGTATAAATGTTGTTGTACTAAAATATCCTTCTCACATGATCCAATCTTATGAATTAATGTACTGTATAGTAATTATTTAGAGCTCAATTTGACCTCTGGTTTCCAACTAAGGAACCCAGGGTCGTAACACTTGTTTTGAGATCTGCGGTGCTGTCGCCTCCCTAATAAGTCACTGTTTGCCTTCTCTGTGGGTAGTTAGCTTCAGGGAGCCAATGAGGCTCCCCACAGAAAACCAGTGTTGAATGTAATGAAATGGCAGTTTCTGGGTGAGCCTTGGAGGCTCCCTGACACCTTCTTTTCCTTCGGTCGGTGGCTTTCATCATTCAAGACCTGAAATGGTTGGTTGCCAGCTCACCTGGGCCGGCTTCCCCTCCCCCTGCAGAAGTAGAGGAAGTGCTAATGAGCAGGGGGACTAGTTGGATGGAGTGTTGCTCGTTTTTCTTTCTGGGGGAGTTCTTTGATAATTTGAAGATGTAGCTTTGCAATTTTCAACTAGCTAGTGGTCTCTCTTTTTTTTGATTCGCCTAATGATGTCCTTCCTTCCCTGGTTGATGGCAAGTATGACATATTGTACTTTAAATGTAAAGTGCTCATATTCTATTGCTCCCTGTACCTCTCTTTGGGGGCCAGGTTCTGGCCCTGATTCCTGGTAGGCAACAAGAACGCTGCGACTGGTGATACCAACTAATATAGCACTATGGCAGTAGGATAGCTTAAGGGAGCCTCCAGGGCTCACCCAGAAATTGGCGTTTCATTACATTCAACGCTGTTTTTTCCAATACAGTCCAGTACTGAAAACCTTTTAGAATTATTTAAGTGTTTTATATATAAATTTTGTATTGCAGTAATGTAACCCCATTCAAATAAATGGGTACCTGTACTGTACAATGAATTACCAAACATAAATTGTATTTTTTAAAATTTCAGTGGTATTTGGAGAAGATGTTGGTTTTGGAGGAGTTTTTCGATGCACGATAGGACTTCAAGATAAGTTTGGAAAGGACCGTGTATTCAACACTCCGTTGTGTGAACAAGGGATTGCTGGATTTGCTATAGGAGTTGCAGTGGGTGGAGCTACTGCCATTGCTGAGATACAATTTGCAGATTATATTTTTCCTGCATTTGATCAAGTAGGTTAAAAATATATCGAATACAATATAGCCAAATTTAGCATAGATGGTGTAATTTTTTTTGGGTATGGTCCTAACAACAATTTTTTTTTATCAGGTTCCTTGTAATTTGTGTATGTATTTACACAAGCTAATGACTGAGCCTACTTGGTTTGCATATTGATTTCCTTAAAATTGTATTTAGCCTACCTTGAGGTGCTTCCGGGGCTTAGTGTCCCCGTGGCCCGGTCGTCGACCAGGCCTCCTGGTTGCTGGACTGATCAAGTCCAGGAGTAAGTACAGTAATCTCTTGACAGTTACATCTTGGTTGTGTAACTGTCAGAGTTACACTGTTGAGGGTAAATATGTTTACAGGAGCTTAGCTTCTGTTACAATTCATCGGAATTTGCAATGCGTTTACTTGATAAATTCAGCCAAGAAAGTTAATGTGTTTTTGAGCATATAGTGTACTGTATCAAGTTTGTGTCCTAAATGTGTTGAACAAAGGAGTAGTAGTTGACATAAAGGAACTTCTGAAGCTGCTATCTGCTTTGAAAAATCAGCAATATTTTCTAGAGAAGCTTCTGTAAGAGTTTGTTACTCCAGCTCCCATTAACCCGGACCTTTGGGCAATCCAGCCATAATCAAATTTGTGTTTTTGTCTCCCAAACTTGGACCAAAACCTGGGTTACTGGGAGATTTGGCTGGAGAACTGAAAGACATTGGAAGACCTATACTCACCAGGAAGCTAAGGGCCTTCGATCAATGAAGCCTCAGTAGCATGTAATCAAAACTGACCTTGTCAATTTCATGTACAATAATTTTAGTGTTGTGCTCCATTAGGTTAATAAATTAACATTAATAAAAATATAGAAATGTAATGAAATAAACTCAAAACTAAAAGCATTTTGGTCACCCGTGAAGAAGAAGAAATTGAGAAATTGCAAATCAGCTGTCAAAAAGGTAAAAGTAGGCCTAAAAGGAATAGTAATTGAAAAGATGTCCAATGTTTCCCAATTTTCTTGACTCATTTCTTAACTTCCAGATTAAGACCTGTTGTAAACATGAAGCAGTTTTTATCAGTATGATTTTTCCGTGATTTAAAAGTCCCTTTTAACTCATAATGGAAGCATCATTTTATTAAGAAAGTATAAACTTGAGATCTTGGAATATCTTCCCTAGAGGGGAAAATTGTATTGATACAGACAATATATGCAGTAAGTAGTCAGTCCGTTCAGGTTAGTTGATAGTATAATACAGTTGTATACCATACCAAATCAGCTTCACTGAAGATTTGCCATGACTTTGGGCTATTTTTGAAATTCATGTGGATAACTACAAAACATAGAAGTTCATCTATTCGATTACTACAAGGGCAGCTTTTTGAAGACTGCTATTAGAGGCCACCAGCAAAGAACTACTGGTTGAACTAAGTACCTGTACAAGATACTGCCAGCAGCAAACTTTTACAATGCTCCAATGAGAAAGTTATTGTCACTTAAAAAACAAGAGACAGGTTAACCAAATTTTTTGCAGATTATTTTATACATTATGGTACTGAGCACAAGACCAATTTTATTTTTGGCAAGAAAATGTATTACTACTCAAATAGATGTCACAATGTTGCAAACAACTCATAGGAAGCAGCTACAAAATTTATCAGTATGCCACCTGCATGGATTAGAAAAGAAATAAAAACATGTAATTGGGAGAATAGATATGCAGTCTTGATTCTGGCCCTCAGGAGATATGTATCCACCTTTTTCACCAAACAGGAGTTTATCTTGGGCATGTTGTAAGTCTGAGGCCAGTTTATGATGCTCTGGGCTCTTTAGCATTTTTATGTTCTGATGACACGTTTCGGTGTCATCGCTACTCAGGCAATAAAAGTTCTGATGATGCTAGATTGCATCATGAGATTGTTGTTCATGAACATATGGAAGTTCATCATTGTTATGCATAATCTATTATAAATACAATTTTGTTTTTGCATCTGTTCTCTAAATAACTAATTGGCAAACATTTAGATGCCCAATTGTTAGCTATAACCCAAGAATTAACCGAGAAAATGTGAAATGATTATAAATGTTTTAAGCGTTTGTGGACCTTTGGTGAGATAAGTTTGTGGCTTTTCACCAAAAAGCAGTTTCATGATGAACATTTACCACCACCAAGAGAAGCTCTTTAACCAGCAATTGAAAGAGCTCTCCTGCAGGCAGTGGCTTGGCAGCAAGACTTGACACAATGCCCTGTACTGCTACCAACATACATGCCTGGAAAAAAAATGGCTGACATTTTATATTCAAAGTACTGTAATGATTGGGGGAAGACTTATAATAATGATGAAAATGAAATATTTTATATGAGGTTATGTATATTCTCTGACCTCAAAACTATATTATTATATACTAATTTTATTCATATTGACCAACTAAAATAGTTTGTGACTCCCTGAAGCTATCTTGCCGAGATTTCACCATTACTAAGAGCTCATCTGAACCATGGAAGTTTGGCCTACGGGGGACCAGAGCCAGAACCTGGCTTCCCTCACAGAGGTGCAGGGAACTAGTGGCAATCTGCCACCCCACTAGAAAAAGATTCTTGAAAGTCGCCGAAGCTTTACAGACACCTGGAGGGTTCAATGAAAATAAAGCCTCAAAACCACCAAACGACTTTTTAAACAACTTAGACAACAAGGGGGTTCACTCAAACTAGCTTGAAACTTGTTAGTACCAAAATCCACCACCAGGTTGCCCAGCCACAGTCGGGTTCCCTGGTCAGTTCTGTTGATGATGAAGCAGCATGTGGTGTCTGTAGTGTTATGGTCCATCAGTTGTGGGCAAGCCTCACTGCTTCAAGCTAAGTGCCAGCTATTTTTGGACATGTCTTGTAGGGCCCATTTGCTTTGCATATTGCTTTTTGTATTTTAGTATTGGCTTCACTTTCAAGTTTGGATTCTGCTTGTTGTGTGAGCTTGACTCTTATTGCATTTTAGGAGCATATGCTCAGGGTTTTCTTCTCAGAGTGCCGGGTAACACTGCTCTTGCACAGCTCAGTTACCTTCTCTGGTGTATTCAGGAGTTCATCCTTCAGCAGCCTTGCCACTGAGGTGGAGAGTCTTGCCTTGGGATATTATGGGTCTTTGCTTCTTCTGTTTGGGCCCTTGGTTGTGGGTATTCTTTCATTGTGCTGGGGTGCACTAGGGTTTGTGTGCTTGTTTATGCAGCATGTCACGGTCACCCATTGTACCCTGGTTATTTTAGTTGTGATTGGTGACTGTTCTTCCAGTGAGTAACCCCAGTGTCTGCGATATCTGCTTGGTTAACCTCCTTCCAGCCTTGGAAATCCCCTGCTGGTCTCTGGTATAGTTCATTATGGATCGGCCCATTGAGTGCGCCCTCTCTGAGTGAGAGTTTGAGGGGTGTTCATTGTCTTTGCTACCAAATGATGATCATTCTTTCTGCCCCCACCAAGTTGCCTGCTTGGTCATTGACATGACCCTGAATCCTGTGGGGTCTCAAATAACCACATGGCATACAGGTCAGTTCTCACTGGGTGTCTGCATTAATAGATTCTACCTCCGAATTAGAGGCTTTTCAGCCAGCTTTTGCTTTGTCAGTAAGGTTTGCCCCTGTTATGCATTCGTGACATATTGATTGGCTGGATATCCTGGAGTTAGCCCCCATGGTGTGTAAGGACCTGAAATTGGAGGTGTTGGTGACCTCCATCTGGACTAAGTCTGCACCTCCTCTTACTTTCCCAGCAGGTGTGGTTACTCCACTTTTGGCTTTCTCCCTTCATCCGACTGGTTCTGGCTACAAAATGTCTGAGAGTTTCAGAGTTGAGTCTGAGTTTAGGTTAGGGTGTAGCTCAGCCTTCTCTGGGGTGGTCCCAGCCATGTCAGTGGCAGAGGCAATTGTGCCTTTTGATCCTGCTGGGATTTTGGGGCATTCTCCTTCACAGCTGCCCTACTTGCTCCGAGCCTTCTGCTTTGAGTGAAACCTTCCCGTCTCAGGTGTTGGGCAAGGTCTTAGGTCCCTTCCATGCAGGGTCTTTTGCTGCAGGGGGGATTATTTTCATATCCTCCCTCCATGTATGAGTTGGATTGCTCAGTTGTTTCCCTTTAAATTTGGTTCCTGATTCTATTTGGCACCTTGGAATCATCATATATCTGGAGGTTTTCCATTTTCCCATGCTGTGCTTTCTGTAGTTCACATGGATTTGATTGAGTACCTCCTATGGAATGTGGACCTTTTTCTCCGTGATGTATCCAGCCTCTTTTTAGTATGGATCTGTTTCTACTTATTGGTTGCAGTATGAGGCCTTAGGGGTTTGGCGCGGGTTCTGTCGAATCTGTGCTTGATTGGCGAGGGTGTGAGCTCTGTCCTTCAGGTTTTCCTGGGTGGAGCTGTCTGTTTGCTCAAGTGCTTTCCAGAAATGTAAGCATGTGGCAGCTCCTTGTGCAGCTGCCTGTGCTGTCCACCAGTTATTGTTGAGAACCACAGGGCGCATCTACGGGAGCTGGTCGGCCAAGCGGACAGCACGCTGGACTTGTGATCCTGTGGTCCCGGGTTTGATCCCAGGCGCCGGCGAGAAACAATGGGCAGAGTTTCTTTCACCCTATGCCCCTGTTACCTAGCAGTAAAAATAGGTACCTGGGTGTTAGTCAGCTGTCACGGGCTGCTTCCTGGGGGTGGAGGCCTGGTCAAGGACTGGGCCGTGGGGACACTAAAGCCCCGAAATCATCTCTATATAACCTCAAGATAACATACAGTTGGCGGCAGTCTTGTGTGTCGAGGTCCTCGTGGAGAGGCTCTCTGAGCATGTGTGTGTGAATGAGACATCACTGGGATCTTCTCTAGGGAAAGAGGCCTTGTGGCCTGGGGTTTGACCTAGGCGACCCTGCCCAAGGTACATCGGGCAGGGCATATGCACTTCCCTTCTTTGGGAGGCAGTGATAGCATTTTTTGGTCCGCCTAACACAGGCCATGTTGACCTATTCCATAGATTCATTTGGTTTGGTTTCTTTCTATTTTGGCTGCCCCACCCATTTTTTCAATTCTCCTCATTCTTGAGGATGCTGTTAGATAGATTGTTTCCACTGGGGCTTTTTCTTGCCATACTATTGATCAGTTTTCTCAGGGTTTTGCCCCCCCCCCCCCTTTCAGAGGCAGCCTGGTCGAGTGGGGATCTCCCCTGTTGTTGGTCAGGGCAGGTCATCTGGTTAGTTAGATTCCTGGACCGTTGCGCTTCCTGAGGAGGGTTCCTCATCTGCTTGATGTTACAACTACGTGTTGCAGAAGGCTGGTTCTGCTGGTGGCCCTTTTGTGGTTTCCTCCTTTGATACTGCCGTTGGTGGTGGGGGGGGAGGGGGGGTGGAATTTGACAAATTTTTCCAGCTCTTGGTCCCACAAGTTGTGGGTTTTTCAGATCATTTCCTGTTGCTTTCGTTGGAGCTGGTTGGTTCTGTGTCTTCTCAGTGGGTGTTTCAGTTGATCCAGAAACAGGATTCAGTGGACCTCTGGTACATCCTCAGTCTCTTGGGCCTAAACAGCTTCATTCTGTGGCTGACCTGAATGACCACTTTGGGGCCAAGTCTGTTACAGACTAGAGCTTGTAAGGTGTCTCTGGACCTCAAGGACGTGTATTGACACAGCCCTATAGATCCCAGCTTCAGGGACTTGTTAGGTTTTGTTGTGGGCTTACCACTTCAGGGTTCTTCCCTTCAGCTTGAGTCTTCCTCCCCCCCTCCCCTTCACATGTTTACCATGCTGGTGCAGGTCATTGTTGCACGGCTGCATCTGTTAGGTTCTGTGTGTTGGCCTACCGTGACTGGTTGGTGTGGGCTCCCAGTCAGGCCATGTGTCAGCTGGCCAGGGTTCTGATTTTTTTCCCAGCTCACCAGGTTTGGGTTCCTAGTAAACTGGAGGAAATCCCAGTTGGTTCCAGCTCACCAATGGCTGAGAAAGCCGACCTCGGCATGCCTCGGTTAGGTCTCTTGCTCCCCAGTGTTTGCACCTCTTGCACCAGCCAAAATTTGCTTCCAACCTCGGGGAAGACCGAAAGCCAAAAACAAATGGACTTGACTAAGGGGAGGACCACCACAAGCGAGAAAGCCTTGTGATGGTCCTCGAACACCGAACACTCTGGTAAAGAGAACCATGACAGTGCAAGAGCAGTGCTAGGGAGCACACAGGGAAGAAAACTGTGTGCATGCAGCTCCAAGCACCCTATACTCCTGGCTCATGCTGCACAAACGTGTTGGAACAGCCATAAAGCAAAAACCCACCACTTAACTAAAATAGGAAACATGAGCCAGAGTGACAGAGCAGACAGCCAGGGCATTAGCTACCATCAACAGGAACTGAGGGAGGAGCAGCCAGCTGACCCAGTTTGCCTCCCTCCCCAAATGAGGGAGGGGGAGGTGGGGCGAAAGAGCTTGCACAAGTTTCATAAATTTTTTATATATTTACATTATTTGGGGAGTTCTTTTGGGAATTTTGAAGTAGAGTATCAATATTTCTTATAACCTGTGGGTGGCCTGTTGTTTCACTGACTATGTTTTCGACTATTTGTGCTTGCTGGGGTTGAGCTTTGGCTCTTTGGTCCTGCCTCTCATCTGTCAATCGACTGTGGTTGCTTCCCCGGTGATGGTGGACATGATTAAAATTCTTTAATTTTATCATAGTGCCACTGTTCTCTGTGGCACTATGAACCTGGTCCCCTCTTCAGAGGGGACCAGGTTCTGGCTAATGGTCCTCAGTAGTCCTAAAAGAACTCCTCGACTGATTGCGATGGCACCTAGTAGTTTGGTACTATATTAGCATTGTAGCTTCAGGGAGCCACAAGGGGCTTTCCCCAGAAAATACAGTACAGTACTATCTTGAGGTTATCTTGAGATGATTTCGGGGCTTTTTAGTGTCCCCGCGGCCCGGTCCTCGACCAGGCCTCCACCCCCAGGAAGCAGCCCGTGACAGCTGGCTAACACCCAGGTACCTATTTTACTGCTAGGTAACAGGGGCATAGGATGAAAGAAACTCTGCCCATTGTTTCTCGCCGGCGCCTGGGATCAAACCCAGGACCACAGGATCACAAGTCCAGCGTGCTGTCCGCTCGGCCGACTGGCTCCTGAAAACGATTCCAGAATAAAAGCTAACATAATTAAATTAAATTAACATTTCTAATGAGAATTGTTGTATTTGCTTTATTGTAAGGTTGTGATGCATTAAGATAAAGATTTATAAAAATTCTTTATAGTTTGTGGCTTTAGCAATATGAATTTATGTTCTATACATTAAATTGTAATTTCTCTCCAGATTGTGAATGAGGCAGCAAAATATCGCTACAGATCGGGCAACATATTTAACTGTGGGAGTTTAACATTCCGAGCCCCTTGTGGTGCAGTTGGTCATGGTGCTCTATATCATTCACAGTCACCAGAAGCTTATTTTGCTCACACTCCCGGCCTCAAGGTATAGTACACGGTGACTGTCTTGTTTGTCTTTTTGTACTCGGAGGAGCTTGCTCATGTAGTATCCTTCTTTGGAGTTTTTGGCTCTTGTTTGCTCAGTAGAATGTTGGAGACCCAGCAACAATACTTTAAATATTTATTTGATTTTGCATATTTAATGGTTAACTTAGCAATTAACCAAGGCCCTTCTGCTTTCTGATTATTAAGAATGTTTTGAGGAATCAGGGTAAGCTTATCATTGTATTAATGTAAATAGTTAAATAATGTAGGGAATTATTTAAATATGGAGAGTTGGTCTGACATCTGAGAACATGTTAGATGATAAGTTACATTTCAGTAATAATGTAGTGTATAACTTGAGATGGAAGACAGCAATCAGTCACTTTATTTCCTATTTGTAGTTTTGATATAGTTTAGTGATAATGGCCAAACAGTCTACTGTTATTAGCTTTACTTAATAAAAATGTAATATATATTTAATTTAACCAAATACTGAGCTGAGATTATGAACAATAATCAATTCTTTTAACAGGTTGTTGTGCCCCGAGGACCAATTAAGGCAAAAGGACTCCTGCTTGCATGTATTCGTGACCAAAACCCTTGCATCTTTCTTGAGCCTAAGGTTCTTTATCGCTCAGCTGTGGAAATGGTGCCCGCCAAGGATTACACAATGCCACTTTCATCAGCTGACATCCTTGTTGAAGGTATTTTAAATGTTAAAATAGGAAGAATGAATTTCACCAAGTATAAAATTGACCTTGTTATTTTAACATTGTGAACTAAATTCCTCAGAGGTAAATTAAAGAATAGTTGTACTGAAAATAGAGATTGGGAAAGGAAAGGAGGGTGTGTGGGAAGGGTGCACTCACATTCAGAACGTGAACATCTAAGTCAGAGATATAGACTGCATTGTGGTGGCAGTGACAGTGAATGAGCTTTCTGAGTAAGTTGAATGAACATGAATGCAAATATAAACATAATAAAACTCATGAGGGTTAATATTGTATTATGACAATCAGCTAACCCTTAAAGTGCAGTTATCATCATTCATTAATTTAAACTACTGTACTGTATTATTGTCTGGGTTTTGCATGATGATAATATGGATATAATAGCTCTTTATGGATGTAGTGGAGTTTATCTTAAAAAGATAAACTTGAAAGAATTCCTACTATCGTTTAATGATTACCTTACTATGTAATTTTTGTTTATTATTATTATTTTCTACCACTATGTAAATGTGGTTATCATTGCAAAATGTTACTATGCCAATGCAGTTATCATCAGTGCAGTTATTGTCATGGCAGTTGTTCACCTTTATATATCTCAGGTATACCCCTACTTGGATTATTGTATTGAAAGATGGAGACCTCATCTTCAAAAGATATATCTGTTTTGGAGAAAGTTCAATGCTAAGTGACTAAAATCGACGTCCACGTCATATAAATTTATTTGACGTGGATCACTAATTCTTCTGGGCTTCAGTAGTAGTCAGGGAAAGTTGAAAATTCCAGTTTGGCAGGCAGGATGCTGCTTCTGGAAATTTTGCTTTTTTTAAGATTGCTCATAGCCCAGTTGATAGTGCTACAGCCTCCCTCGCATGGGGTCCACGGTTCGAAACCCATATAGTCCAAGTGAATGGAATGCTTATTTCCACGGAAGTGTGGATGACATTTTTATGTACAGTATCATTTAAAATGTTGATTTTCTGCAGGTGAGGACATAACACTTGTAGCATGGGGAACGCAAGTTCACGTACTACGAGAAGTGGCAGAACTTGCACGTCAGCAACTAAATGTATCTTGTGAAGTGATAGACCTTGTCACTATTCTGCCATGGGACACAGAAACTGTTTTCAATGTGAGTTTATTTAATATTTCTAATAATATGTCATTTGTTACTAGTTTTTTCTTATAATACAGAAAGTTATTTTTCTGATTACATATAACTTTTTCTGGGGGGGACCCCCATCGACTCCCCGGAGCTATCCAGGCTGATATGAATATACAGTACTGTATTAGTTTTCTGGCATCAATCAGTGTGCATGGAGTTCTTGCCTACCGGGAACCACGAGCCAGAACCTGGCCCCCTCAGAGAGGCATGAGGAGCAGTGACCCATAGAACCCCCTGTGTGGTTGGAAGCATTCTATGTTGGCCATCGACCGGGTCTGGCACCCAGAAAGGTGGGTGGTCGAAAACAAACCCCTATTCTGGTGAAAATATTGCTACCAAAAGCTGAACAAGTGGACAGAACTCCCCAAATGAAAATTAGCAAACGTGCATGACATCGTGATGTTGCCGCACTGCTGTCTGCGAAGCCCCCCCCCCCATCCTTCCTGGGAGGGAAAAGGGGGAGCCCCAGTCCCTTGCGCTGACAATCCACCCTTCCGTTCTTGGCTGATGTGATATTGGCAGGTCATGTGCCTCTGGCTTAAGATTTTCTCTGTTTCTGTGCTTTGTGGCGTGGTCTGTCTCTACGGGTGGTATGCGAGCCAGGAGTAATATTCTTCGGTACTCTGGCTGCTTGCACCTAGGGTTTGCTTCCCTAAGTGCCCTGTAAGTACTGCCCCTGAGGCTTGGGGCCACCTTCCACAAGTCACCTTGGGATCCACCTCCGCTGTGTCTTTTACTGCTGAGTACTTGGCCGCCCTTGGAGTCAACTGGGGTTTTTGTTTGCCCTTGTTTGCCTCTGGGTAGGAGGTAGTTTTCGTCACTGGTACGGGCGCAGGGTACAGCACAGCAAGCCTTTACCTCTCGTGGTTTAGTTTGCTAGGTTTAGGTTGCTGTAACGCATTACGTTGGTTGCTTTCTCGGATGCCTCGAGACTGCCTCGTTTTGGTTATAGGGACCCGGACTTTGGGGTGGGAGTTGCTTCGACTTTGGTTCCGTCCACCCCTCCATGTCCTTCCCCTTCTGTTGTGCATCCGGTTCCTTCCCCCTTTGCTTCCAGCTCTGGAACATCTGAGGGTTTCGGAGTCAGTGCAGGGTCTAGTTGGTGTTGAGACACTGGCGGTTTCAAGGGGAAGGGAGGGCAGGGAGTCCCCTTCTGGGTTGGCAGCAGAGGCATTTGAGCCTGGTCCTTCAGCCGGAGCTTCTGGATTTGACCAGTCGGCCTCCGTCGATCCTGCTCTTTTGGCGGCTTGTGCCTTTTCTCTAGAGGTGGGGAGTTTGGGGAACGGCTCGGCTCTGGATCCTCGGAGTGAGGTTCCCGAGGCAGGGGAAAGGTTGACTTGGGGGGCCTTGGGTCGCATTAGACCCCGCCTGGGGTTTTGTACCCTCGGAGCAGGGCTTGGTCTTGCAAGGAGTGGAGTTCTCTACTCTCCCTCCTCGTACGAATTGAATTTGGCATCTACCCCTCTCTGGGTTCGGTTCAGTGATCCCGTGGGTTCTTCGGTTCTGTGTTTTCCGGAGGTTTTCGGCTTCCTGCGCCCTGTCCCATGTGGTGCGGGAAGCCCTTGCGGCTTACTTCCTGCGCGACCTGGATTATGCCTTCGTAGTGGATCCGCGTTCCTTCGTGTATGGTTCTTTTTGTCTTTACTGGGTTTGTTGTGAAATTCCGGAGTCATCCTGGTTGGCAGACTGCCCTCTTCTCATTGGAGGCTTGGCATTCGTTCTGTCAGTCCAGCACACTTGAGTGGTGGGAGGCTTAAACGGCGTTGCAGGTTTTCCTGGGGGGCGAATTCAAGCATCTCGATGGGTGCTTGTTCGCCCCTGCCCTTCTGCGGGATGTTGGTGTGGTGCAGCTCCTTGTGCAGGTTGCCTGCCTTTCGGCTGCATTGGTCGCAGAGGATTTGCGTATACGTGGCCTGTTGGCTTTAGCCCAGCATTTCTTCTCCCTGCTCGGGCTGTCATCGTACTGACTTGAGTTGGATGTGGAGAAGCTTGGGGCTGCCTCTGGGTCTGGTGCATTGCCCTTGGTGGTGCATGCGTCGTCTGCCTTGTTAAAGTTGCTTGTGCCGCTCCTGAGGGATGGTGTTTCGCGTTTTTTTGCTTCCCGACCCACGTGTCGGCAGGAGGTGCTCGCTTCTTCTCTGGAATCTGCTTGGACCCTGGCTCTTAGGCTTTCTTCGCCTTTTTGCCCATTGCTGTTTGCAGAGTCAGTAGTTGTGCAGTATCTGCAAGCAGCTTCGTCTAATTGTCGTCCTGTTTTGGACTTGTTAGCCCTCTGGGGAGATTGTGGGGGGGCCTTCCCGGAAGGGTCGTGCCATGGTTCCGGGTTATTACTATCGTGGTAGGTCAGTGGTGCCAGATTCTGTGCAGGCGCAGCCTTTGGTGCCGTCTGTTTCTGTTCAGTGTGGGGATCGCCCTGTGCGCTGTTTAGGTGCTTGTAAGGTACGTTGGCCCTTTCACGGTTCTTGGGGCGATAAGGGGAGGCTCACTCTGTTTGCTCATGCCTGGTCCCACAATTTGTGGGCCTTTTGGTTCATTTTGTGCGGCCTGTGATGGTGTTGGGTGGCTGCTGCTCCTCCTCCAATGGGTTCGGGGCTGGTGGGGCAGGCCTCTTCTGCGCTCTGTTGGATCATCTCGGTGTGGGTTCACTTGGGCGTGGTCGAAATGACTTTGTGCCTCTGATGAGTTTACCTGCCTGTTTCTGGTCCCAGAACGGGACTACACGGACCTCCAGTTCATTCTGAACTTGTCCTGTCTGAACCCGTAGGTTTATTGCCTCACCTTTCGGATGACTACTGTCCTAGGTCCGTCTTCTGTTGGAGCCGAACGTTTGGATGGTGTCCCTGCACCTTACAAACGTGTATTGGCAATTCCTCCGAGGTTTTGTTGTGGGGCGTCAGTGTTACCACTTTCGTTGCCTTCCATTCGGTTTGATTCTAGTGCCTCGTGTTACCCCACACCTTACTCAGGTCGTGGTGGCCCGCCTGCGTCTGTTAGGTGTTTGGGTTCTGGCCTACCTCGACAACCGGCTGGTTTAAACTCCCAGCCAGTTCGCGTGTCTGCTCCCCAGGGATTTGGTTCTTTCCCAGCTCGCCGGGTTCGGGTTCCTGGTGTCTTGGAGGAAGGCCCATCTGGTTGCCTCTCAGGTTCAGTCTTGGCTGGGTCTTGTGTGGGACTCTCAGGCTGCTTCCTTGTCTCTCCCTCCGGCATCGTTTCTGCTGCTGCGGTCCCGCCTTCGGCTGTTTCTGGGGCTTCCGGGTCACTCGTCAGTTGCTCGAGTACCTGTGCAGGAGTGTGCGGGAGTCTGAACTTCACTGTGCTGGTTTACTCGCTGGGTTGGGTGTAGCTTCAGTAGCTGTTCTGTTTTTTTCAGGGATGTCCCTTCTGCTGCTCTCGCGATCGTTGGGTTCGGCCTCCGGGGGGGAGTTCTTGTGTCAGCTGCGTAGTAGTTGGCTTCTTAAGGTTTTTTGGGGTTCAGTGTGTGGCGCCTCCCCGAGCCCTCGTTCGATCTGTTCACGGATGTGTAGTCTCTTGGCTGGAGTTTTGTGACCAGTGCTCACCTGGACAGCCAGGGGCGGTGGGGTCTGTCCTTTTGTCGGGCTCACAGCATGGTGCGGGAGTTTGTGGCGGTGTGGATTTCACTTCGGAGGTTCATGTTGCTTGCAGATCGGCGATCCGGTTCCATTCGGACTGCGCCCTGGTGGTTCATTGCCTGAACTGAGGGGGGGGGGGTTGATGCAGTCCTTGGCTCTTTGGGTCTGGTTGCTTCGGGGGACTTGTCTGCTGAGTTCCCCAGGTTTGGCTCTACTGGCCATTCACGTTCGGGGGATGTCCAACATCCTGGCAGACGGACTGGCCTGGTTCGTTTCCCTGTCCACAGAATGGACGGTCGACGCCAACTCGTTTAGTTGGCTTTGTTGGACGTATGGGTGCCTGGAGTTGGACCTCTTCGCGTCGGCACGGTCGAAGCATCTCCCGGTATATGTGGCGCCCTTCCCTGACTTCAAGGCCGTCGGGGTTGACACTTTTTTGCAGTACTGGTCATGGTGGGGTTGCCTGTACCTTCATTAAGGTGGGGTTGCCCGTACTCCCCTTCCCCCCCCAGTTCAGCTGTTGCTTCAAATTCTGGCTTGTTTGGAGACTTACCAGGGAATAGTAGTCCTGTTGGCAACTTTATGGCAGGCCCAGCCTTGGTTTCTGGCGCTGCTTGCTCAGTGTCCGAACCCGGTGACTTTTTCTGCCGTTCCGCCTCTTTCAGCAGATCGGTCCGGTCCGGTACATGACTGGTTAGATCTTCTCCTCTGATTTTCGCATCTGGTATTTCTGACGCCGGTTTATCTCCATTTGTATGGTGATAAGGTGGATACTTTGATGGTGTCCCACCAGTGAGTTTCGTCTGGGTGGCAATATGAAGTCTCCTGGCGGTCCTGTCATTATTTTTGGTCTCATCGTAGATTGTCTTCTGTTTTGGATCAGGTTGTCTTGTCCTTTCTCTCTCTGTTGTTTCAGGACTGTCATCTTAAGAGGAATACTGTCGTCTTGTATCGTGCGGCGCTGGCAGAGCCGCTCCTGCTTTCATTCGGGGTGGATGTCACTTTAGCCCAGTTTCGCAAGCTGTCTCGTGTGTTGTATCATCTCCAGCCTGCTCATGCACCTCCTGAGCCATCCTGATCGTTGGACCGTGTGCTCTTTTCTCTCTTCTAGGTTTGTGGTACAGAGCACCACTTGGTTTCCGAACCCTTTGGGGACAAGATCCGTCGGTTAACATGTAATTTCGTAAACAAGAAATAGAGGGGAAAAATAAACTAGAAATGTAAAAAGAAATTTTTCAGAAAAATTTATGAAAAAAACTAGGGAAAAAGATCGACAGGTTCATAGCGTAAATGCGACCGTATTTTGTTTGTACTCACCAATAAGTGAAGTCCTGATCCGCTTTATAAAAGTCCTTAATTGTTCCTAGCTGATTATTAAGACGTCTGGCAAACATCCTCTGGATGTTTCCTGCCAGCCTGCAGAAATATCCTGCCAGCCAGCCTGCCAGCCAGCCTGCCAGCCTGCAGGCACATCCTGCCAGCCAGCCTGCAGGCACATCCTGCCAGCCAGCCTGCAGGCACATCCTGCCAGCCAGCCTGCAGGCACATCCTGCCAGCCAGCCTGCAGGCACATCCTGCCAGCCAGCCTGCAGGCACATCCTGCCAGCCAGCCTGCAGGCACATCCTGCCAGCCAGCCTGCAGGCACATCCTGCCAGCCAGCCTGCAGGCACATCCTGCCAGCCAGCCTGCAGGCACATCCTGCCAGCCAGCCTGCAGGCACATCCTGCCAGCCAGCCTGCAGGCACATCCTGCCAGCCAGCCTGCAGGCACATCCTGCCAGCCAGCCTGCAGGCACATCCTGCCAGCCAGCCTGCAGGCACATCCTGCCAGCCAGCCTGCAGGCACATCCTGCCAGCCAGCCTGCAGGCACATCCTGCCAGCCAGCCTGCAGGCACATCCTGCCAGCCAGCCTGCAGGCACATCCTGCCAGCCAGCCTGCAGGCACATCCTGCCAGCCAGCCTGCAGGCACATCCTGCCAGCCAGCCTGCAGGCACATCCTGCCAGCCAGCCTGCAGGCACATCCTGCCAGCCAGCCTGCAGGCACATCCTGCCAGCCAGCCTGCAGGCACATCCTGCCAGCCAGCCTGCAGGCACATCCTGCCAGCCAGCCTGCAGGCACATCCTGCCAGCCAGCCTGCAGGCACATCCTGCCAGCCAGCCTGCAGGCACATCCTGCCAGCCAGCCTGCAGGCACATCCTGCCAGCCAGCCTGCAGGCACATCCTGCCAGCCAGCCTGCAGGCACATCCTGCCAGCCAGCCTGCAGGCACATCCTGCCAGCCAGCCTGCAGGCACATCCTGCCAGCCAGCCTGCAGGCACATCCTGCCAGCCAGCCTGCAGGCACATCCTGCCAGCCAGCCTGCAGGCACATCCTGCCAGCCAGCCTGCAGGCACATCCTGCCAGCCAGCCTGCAGGCACATCCTGCCAGCCAGCCTGCAGGCACATCCTGCCAGCCAGCCTGCAGGCACATCCTGCCAGCCAGCCTGCAGGCACATCCTGCCAGCCAGCCTGCAGGCACATCCTGCCAGCCAGCCTGCAGGCACATCCTGCCAGCCAGCCTGCAGGCACATCTTGCCAGCCAGGCTGCAGGCACATCCTGCCAGCCAGCCTGCAGGCACATCCTGCCTGCCTGCCTGCCTGCCTGCCTGCCTGCCTGCCTGCCTGCCTGCCTGCCTGCCTGCCAGCCTGCCTGCCTGCCAGCCTGCCAGCCAGCCTGCCTGCCAGCCTGCCTGCCAGCCTGCCTGCCTGCCTGCCTGCCTGCCTGCCAGCCAGCCAGCCAGCCAGCCAGCCTGCCTGCCTGCCTGCCAGCCAGCCAGCCAGCCAGCCAGCCAGCCAGCCTGCCTGCCTGCCTGCCTGCCTGCCTGCCTGCCTGCCTGCCTGCCTGCCTGCCTGCCTGCCTTCCTCTTTGCATGCCAGCCAGCCTGCTATCCAGCCTGCCTCCCTCCCTGCCATCATGCTAACGGGTCGAGTGTGTTAGGCTTATCTTCGGGAGCGAGCCGGTCTCTCCTCCACCACCCCGATCACCGACAACACCCCCCCCCTTTATCCTATACTCTCTCTTCAAGGTCACGTAGTTTCCCTCTCTGCCTTCCAGCCTGCCTGCCTACTTGCCAGCCTGCCTCCTTGCCAGCCTGCCTTCTTGCCAGCCTGCCTCCTTGCCAGCCTGCCTCCTTCCCAACCTGCCTGCATGCCTGCCTGCCAGCCAGCTGGTCTTCCTGCCTGCCTGCCAGCCAGCCAGCCAGCCAGCCAGCCAGCCAGCTAGCCAGCCTGCCAACCTGCCAGCCTGTCAGCCTGCCAGCCTGCCAGCCTGTCAGCCTGCCAGCCTGTCAGCCTGCCAGCCTGCCAGCCTGCCAGCCTGCCAGCCTGCCAGCCTGCCTGCCTGCCTGCCTGCCTGCCTGCCTGCCTGCCTGCCAGCCTGTCAGCCTGCCAGCCTGTCAGCCTGTCAGCCTGTCAGCCTGCCAGCCTGCCAGCCTGCCTGCCAGCCAGCCAGCCTGCCTGCCTGCCTGCCTGCCTGATTGCCTGACTGCCTGCCTGCCTGCCTGCCTGCCTGTCAGCCTTTCAGCCTGTCAGCCTGTCACCCTGCCTGCCTATCTATCTGCCTGCCTTTCCCTCCCTCCCTAATTCTCACTACTTCCCTCCCTCCCTGCCTACCTCCTAGCATCTCTCCCTACCTCTCCCTCCCTCCCTTTCTGACTAATTCTCCCCCTCTCACTGATTCTCCCCCTCTCGCTCATACTGCCTCCCACCTAAGCTCCCCCATCCATCCACCCACCCACTGGTCAGCCATCACTGACGCAGTGAGTGCATTTGGAGCAGACATGGTACACAGATGTTTCTTTATTGTGCAGATATGTAAAACAAAAGCACAATGAATATTCCAGCCTTATGACAATTCAAAATAATAGGAATAATAGGCCGTGAATCTGTGAAGTCACAGTGAGCAAACTGGACCATCTCTCACCCACCACCAAAGGCCGGCGTGATGCTTGGCGGACCCCTTTCTACCCGAACAAAGTTCGGGTAGAAAGTTCGGTTTGGAATTGTTTAAACAAGGCTCTTTTCTTGACCTCTGGGGGCACGTCGGGGGAGCTTCATGCTCTCCTCTGGTGCAGGGGTTTTTGCTCTTACGGTCCTGGTGATAGGTTTGTTTGGTTGCAATCATCTCCTTTTTCCTGGCGAAGAACAAGATGGCAGCTTTTCATGGGGGTCTTTGGGTGGTTGATGCTTGGTTGGTTCGGCTCGGGGTGCATTATGTGTTGTCTGGTTGCGGTTCTTCACTGTTATTTGCGTGCCACAGCCTCTGTGGCTGGGGATGCACTCTGGGTTGACCTGGGTTTTCCTTCTTCCCTGTTCCAGGGCTCGGGTCTCCCAGGTCGTCTGCAGGGTTATTTGGTCCAGCCAGCCTGTGGTCTATTGGTGTCCATGATGTTCGCAAATTTGTTGCTTTAGCTGCTGTTTTTGGTAATGTGTCTTGGGCCAACATTCGGGCGCGGGAATTTTAAAGGTCAAGCAGGGGTCCTGGCCGCCCGTTACCTCGTTAATGTTCCTAGCCCTTGTCGGGCACGTATCACTTTGGGTCGCAGGTTGCAGTAAGTTGTCTCAACTTCGAGTTGAGATGTGAGTGGCGGCCGCTTCCCGGGTAAGTACCTCTTTAATTTTTCTGTGGTTTGGTAGCTCCAGGGAGCAGGAGGGGCTCTACAGAAAACCAGCTTTGAATGTAATGACACTCCATTTTCTGAACAAGTCCCGGAGGCTCCCCGGCAACCCTCCCTCCCTCCCTCCAGTCGACGCTTTTCGTGTGTTGATATTCAGCCTCTAAACTGGGGTTGGGTAGCCAACGTGAAGGGTTTGGGGCTCCCCCCCCCTTCCCTCTCTCGGGGAGGGGGGGGAGCTGCACAGACAGCAGAACTGCGGCAGGTTTGACATCATGTTTGTTTGCTATTTTTCAGATTGTGGAGTTCTACTTGATAGTTCAATTTTTGGTAGTAATTTTCACCAGATGGAGTCTACCTTTCTGGGTGCCTAACCCGGTAGATGGCAGACATAGAATGCTTCCAATCACATGGGGGTTTTATAGGCCATTGCTGCTTATGCCTCTTTGAGGGGGCCAGGTTCTGGCGCGTGGTCCCCAGTAGGCTAGAACTCCAAGTGAATTGACTGATGCCGTAGTATAATATATGCTTGTCAGCCCGGTATACCTCTAGGGAGTCTCTGGGGCTCACTCAGAAAATGGCTGGGTGATGACATTCAAAATGACATTCAATGCTGGTTTTTGAAGACTTAGATTTATGCCTGTATTATGAAATATTGATTTTTTTAACTTGACTGCATATACCTATTATTTATAACAGTTTATTTTGTGCTTAATCTGTTTATTAATATTATTGTACTGTACTTTGTCTTATCTACATAGGCTTTAGAGTTAATCATCCAGAAAGGAAGTGTAATACAGATAATTTCTTAATAAATTTTTAGATTTGATTCAAATGACAGCCAATTTTGAGTTTGTGTGAAGGAAGGGGGGCCATTGTCTTCATAACTGGTTACACTGTTGTGTTCTGACCATTGATGTTTTATATTTATTACTCAATTTTGTACAGAATTTAGGACTTTAAAAGGCAAATTAATCACAGATTTGCTATACGAACTTCACAGAGTTTTATTTATAGTCCATTGCAAGCAATTTATCAGTACACAGTTAACTTTAAAGTTAATTAACTTTCAATCATTATATTTCAGTCTGTAAAGAAAACTGGTCGAATGCTAATTGCACATGAAGCACCTATAACTAATGGATTTGGGGCCGAGATTGCTGCAGCTGTACAGGTAAGCATGTGTTCTGTATGCTTCACTTACTTTTTTGCTGGCTTTTAAAACTTGCAAAATTCTCTTATTTCATTATCATAGTGAACAAATTATATACACTTGAACAAATTACTTGGTGTGATTAAGTTCGAACCATCAGTCTTTTTTTTTTTTTTTAAATACCCATTTTGGTTTGGTTGAAACGTCCTCATCCCTCAGGTGGATTTCCCGCCCGTTTCCAGTTCCGAAACAGGACCTGTGGTTCATTCTGGACTTGTCCCGTTTGAACCTCTGGATGGTGTCCCTGGACCTCAAGGATGCGAATTGGCACATCCTGATGCATTCAGGGTTCAGGGACTGCCTCGGTTTTGTTGTGGGGCGTCAGGCTTAATGCTTTCATTACTTTTCATTCGGCTTGAATCTGGTGCCTCCCGTGTTCACATGTCTTACCCGGGTCATGGTGGCTCGTAGGGGTCTCTTAGGGGCTCCGGTTCTGCCCTACCTCGACGATTGGCTGGTATGGGCTCCCAGCTAGTCAGTGTATCTGCTCGCCAGGGATTTGGTTCTTCCCAACTCGCTGGTTTCGGGTTCCTGGTGAAGTGGAGGAAGTCCCATCTGGGTCCCTCTCATATCCGGTCTTGGCTGGGCCTTGTTTTGGACTTCCGCTTCCTTGCCTTTCCCTCCGGTGGCTCTGCTGCGGCTGCGGTCCCGCCTTCGCCTGTTTTTTGGGGGCTCCTGGGTCACAAGGCCCTTGCTTGAGGGTTTGTGCGGGAGTCTTAACTTTACCGTAATGTTCTACCCGCCAGGTCAAGTTTGGCTTCGTTGGCTGTTCTGGTTCCTTCAGGGATGTCCCTTCTGCCTCTCGTGCGATCATTGGGTTCGGCCTCTGGGTGCTTTACGTTGGCTGCTGCATCGCCGGCTTCCTCTTCGGGTTTTTTGGGGTTCAGTACCTTGGCGCCCCCCCATGCCCCTTGCTCAATGTGTTCATGGATGCGTCGTCTCTTGACTGGGGGTTTGTGACCAGTGCTTACCAGGCCGGCCAGGGGCGGTGGGTTCTGTCCTTTTGTCAGGCACACAGCAGCTTGAGATCCGGCTCCATTCGGACTACGCCCTGGTGGTTCATTGCCTGTATCGCGGGGATTTGATGTGGTCCTTGGCCCTTTGGGGATGGTCGCTTCAGGTGACGTGAGTTTTTGGGGTTTGGATCTCCTGACCATTCACGTTCAGGGGGTGTCCAGTGTCCTGGAGGATGGCCTGTCTTGGTTCATTACCCTGCCCACGGAATGGACGGTTGACACCCACTCTTTCTCTGCTGGACGTACAGGCTCCCAAAAGTGGACCACATTGCGTCAGTGTGGTCGCAATGTCTCCCGATATATGTGTGACGCCCTTTCCCTACTGCAAGGCCGTTGGGGTCAATGACTTCAGGCAGGACTGGTCGAGGTGTGGTTACCTTTACCTCTTTCCCCTGGTTCTGCTGTTGCTCCTGGTCTTAGCTTGCTTGTGAATGTGAATGTGAATTCCATTTGGGCCCCTAGCGGTTTGAGGGTTAAGATAACCTCCCCATCCTGGGGAGAGGTTGCGCAGACAGTGACGTGGTGACGCCATGCTCGCTTTCAATTGGGGAGTTTTGTTCACTAGTTCGGCTTTCATTAGCAATATTTTAACCAGAGTAGGTTTTTTTTTTTGGGGGCGCTTATGTTTTTGGATGCCTTACCCAGTCAATGGCAGACATAGAATGCTTCCAACCGCTCAGGGGTTTCTATAGGCCATTGCTCCTCGTTCCTTTCTGAGGGGGCCAAGGGTCTGGCTCGTGATCCCCGGTACACCTAGTATTCCGTGCACATTGACTGATGCCAGGGTCAAATACATTGATATCAGCCCGGATAGCTCCAGGGATCCTCTGGGATCCACCCAGAAAATGGGGTTTCATTTATTTCAACCATGTTTTTTTTTTTTTCTGCCTGATGGAGGGTCTGCCCTTGGTGTGGTTCCTACATATATATATTCTTGGTGGTCCTCCACTAGGTCCCTGTGTGTGTGTACACGTCCCCAGGGGTTTAGCTTTTAGCAGTTTGCGGCACCGGTTACCTTGCCTTGGCTTCTCTTAGCAGAGCATCTAAGGGTCCTGGAAACCCCTGCTGGGACTCAGTGGTCCAATGGATGCGTCCCCTGGGTCCCATATCGCTTCGTGCAAGTTTGAAGGTTGCTCTGTTCCCTTGTCTCAGGGTGACAATTGCCTGTTCTGCCTCTGTCATGCTGCCTGTTGGGTCGGTGACATCTTTGACCCAGAGTCTTGCGAGTGGTGTTCCATGCATGTACAGTGGTACCTCATTTTACGAATTTAATCCATTACCAGAGATGGTTCGTAATCTAAAAATTCGTAAACTGAAGCGAATTATCCCATAAGAAATAATGTAAATTGAATTAATGAGTTCCACACTCCCCCAAAAATTAACTTTAGAGTAAATTTTATACCTAATTCACACAAATCTTCAGTCCTAAAGTATGTACAAGTTATTACTTACCTTTATTGGGGACGTGTGTTGGCATATGAAAGACGGTGAGGAAGGGGGAAGGAGGAGAGGTGTTTGGAAGTTTGGAAGGAAGGAGTCCCCTTCCATTATAACATCAGGCAGTGATGACTTCTCTGGAGAACACTCTCTGGCATGTTTTGCCTGCATACCAGTAGGACCTGCTTGTGGCTCTCTGCTTGATTTTTTCACTAAAATTCGATCCATAGAGGATTGTTTACCCTTCGTTGTAACACTTGTCTGTAGTGAGGCATCACATTGTCATTAAAAAGGGTAATGCAACTGCCTACTACAGCTTGCTCGTGGTGAATCATTTCAACAAAAGTTTGCATTTTTCCAATAGTCTGCACCACTTCCTACTTGTTGAGTTAGGAGACATTCTGTACTGCCTCCTCCTTCCCTAAAGAAATTTCCTCAGCTGCCTCTTGTTGCTGCTCATTGTGAAGGGCTAGTAGTTCTTCAGTGGTCAGTTCTTCGCTGTGTTCCTCCACCAACTCCTCCACATCAGCACCATCCAACTCCAAGCCCAATTTCTGGCCCAGAGTAACAATTTCCTCAACAAGTGGCACTTCAGGTCCAGGCTCAATACCCTTAAAGTTTAGTTCTTAAACACATTCAGGCCACAATTTTTTTCAGCCAAAGATCTGGGTTCTTTGAGTCACTTCTTGCCATGCTTTGTCAATGAGTTTTAAAGCAATACAAATGTTAAGTTTTTTCCAGAACTCTTTGAAGGTGAGGTGTGTAGAATCAGTCACTTCGAAACATTTCCGGAAAAGTGTCCTTTCATAAAGTTTTTTAAAATTGGATATGATTTTCTGGTTCATAAGTTGAATTAGAGGAGTGGTGTTAGGAGGAAGTAACTTTTATTGTAACAAAATTCAATTTGTCAAACAATGCATCTTCCAAGCCTGGAGGATGAGCAGGAGTATTGTCGAGGAGAAGCACAGCCTTGAGTCGCAAACTTTTCTCCTGCAGATATTTTTTTATGGCAATGCAAACCACCTCATTCACCCACTCCGTAAAAAATTTGTCTTGTCACCCATGCCTAACCCTCCACATCACACACATTTGGCTTTTCTACACATAATATTTTTTGAAACCCTTGGATTTTCAGAGTGATACACAAACAAGGGTTTAATTTTCAAATCGCCACTCGTCCTACCACACAACACCAGAGTTAGCCTGTCTTTCATAGGCTTGTGTCCGGGCAGTGACTTCTCTTCCTGGGTAGTGCATGTCCTCTTGGGCAATCTTTTCCAGAATAGTCTTGTCTCGTCACAATTAAACACTTGTTGTGGTAGGTATCCCTCACTCTATACAAAATCTTTAAATTCATCAGTAAATCTTTCAGCCACTGGTTTGTCTGTGCTGGCAGCCTCCTCACGTCTCACAACACTATGAATATCACTTATTTTTCTAAATTTCTCAAACCATCCCCTGCTCACGTTAAACTCATTCGTATCTGCATCACTCGTTCCAGGGGTTTTCTTTAAAAGGTCTTCATTCATGCAGTTGTCTTGCTTTCTCACAAATGATGGCCTCTGAAACACTATCACCTGCTAACTTCTTGTTGTGTATCCAAATTAATAAAAACTTTTCAACATCCTCAAGTGTTTGTGTTCTTTGTTTCGTGATTGTTGATACACCCTTTGCCACTTTAGCACTCATAATGCCCTTTTTCTTAACAATTACAGTGCATATCATTGACATCGATTTTTTGTACTGCCTAACTAGTTCAACAACCCGTGTACCATTTTCATGTGTATGAATGATCTCTTGTTTGTCCTCTGTGGTCATTCTCACATATGTTTTCTTGGTTTGAATCTTACCACTGGCTTTCTTGGGACCCATAGTGAGATATATAAAAACTTTTATGTTCAAATATCCAAAAATCTGAATAAAATGAAATTCTTTATAAAGAATTCAGGTGCGATTGTCACTAGGTGGGAGGCACTGGTAAATTGAGGTGCGATTGCCATGCCACCATGTGCTAGATCGGCCATACGTGTATCAACATAGTGGTACCTCGGGTTACGAACGTCTCTGTTTACGAACTTTTCGGGTTACAAGCTCGATTTGTTCAGAAAATTTGAATCGGGATACGAACTTTGCATCGGGATACGAGTTTGTTGATATGTGTACGGCTGACCTAGCACGGGGTGGCACGGCGATCGCGCCTCAGTTTAACAGTGCCTCGCGCCCAGTGACTATCCCGCCTGAATTCTTCACAAGAATTTACAGTTTTTTGTTGGATTTTTGGCCATTTGAGCATAAAAGTTATTATATATCTCGCCATGGGTCCCAAGAAAGCCAGTGGTAAGGTTCAAGGCAAGAAATCACATGTGAGAATGACCATAGAGAGAAAAAAAAAAAAGAGATCATTCGTAAGCATGAAAATAGTACTCGTGTTGTTGAACTAGCTAGGCAGTACAACAAAACCATGTCAATGATATGCACTCTACTTGCCAAGAAAAAGGACAATATGAG